CCCCAAAACCCCAAAACCCCAAAACCCCAAAACCCCTCATATTTAAAATCTTTTTGAAAGTTGATTAAGCAATGGGGATTTCGTGGAGAAAGTAAGTAGTGCTTTTATAAAGAAGATTGGTATAACCCTATCTAGTATCACAGCAACAAAATATTTCTGGTACATCGCGCTGGCCATAAAGCTCCTCTGAGCATTTAACTCAAGGTCAATTTACCAAAGTAATGAAATCGGCCAAGCAGTGCTCGTGTCTTATGATATGGTGTATGGAGGAGGCAACCTTCCATGGGAATGGAATGATGAATTCAGGCTGAGACCAGTCCTATACCCTTCCATATTTGCAGTGGTGTTCAAAATACTCAATATCCTGTATCTAGACTTCAGATTTTTGATAATATACTCTCCAAATCTAATCCATGTATTTTTCTGGCAAATAAGTGACTTTTATGTGTTCAAACTTCTCAAAGAAGAATCTGATGATTTAAATGAAAGAAGAAGGTCAGCAGGGGACAAGGATCCCAAAAATTATGACTATGCTAACCTAGCTATGATCATGTACATGGGGGTGTGGGCTGTTTTAGCAATGAATGCAAGAACCTCAGCAAACGCTGTAGAGACTATCTTCCTTCCAATTGGAATTTATTACTGGAGGAGAACTAAATCAGGCTCTGAGGAACATGTTAAACTTGAGGATCAAGTTCTGAGAGGAAGGAACAAAGTGAGTAGTGGGTTTCAAAAGCACATCGGTAAGTTATTTAAGAAGAATTATATATCTCTGGGTCCCATTTGTTATTAAATTCTAGTTCATCATTTTTGTATAGACCCTAATGCGATAAAGCTGACATTATTGATCGTGTTCTCATTCATTCTCAGACCGACTAGTCTTCTGCCTTGGTTAGCTCCAATATTTTGGAAGGTGTTCTTCGAGAAAACGTTTTTTAAATTCTTGCTTTGAGGATTATTTATTGCAACCCCCTTATACATATTTTCCATATTACTAGACTCATTGTACTTTTGGGATTTTCCAACCTTCACTCATTACAATTTTGCAAAATTCAATGTCATTGATGGAGGAGCTGGAGAATATTTTGGGAAATCAGGGACTTTCCAGTATATCTTTTGGGCTTTTTGATATCTTGGAGGCCTCTTTCCTTTTGCATGCATTGGTCTATGTACTGATATATGGACTAACGTGAGAAGTTCAAAGTTTCCCTTATTGCCATCGATCTGTATTGGATATTTTGTAATCCTAACTCTGATTCCTCACAAAGAGATCAGGTTCATCTTGCCTTTGTCATTTATATTATGATATTTTGCAGCTATTGGAATTCCTAAATTTCCCAGAGCCGGGTTCATCCTTCTAGGAATAACGTTTATTTACTGGGCTATTTTCATGATTATCAGTGGAATTATTAAGAACAATATGCACAAAGCTAATGATTTTGTATACGATAGAGACTACGAAACTGTATATTGGTCAGATAATGAAGCAACAAATTACCTTGCAGATCTCCATCCAGGATATTATGATCCCAATAATGAGAAAGTTATGACCAACCATATTGCCTTAGGCTTTGCTCGGAGAGGATTCCCTGACCTAAACTATCTGGCTCATTCAGAAACTTTCGATATCGCATATGACTCAGTACTAGACCTATCTAAGAAATTTCTAGTGAAGCGTAACAAGGCACTAACTAATCAAACATTAGACATGAAGACTTATAATGAAAAGAGCGCTTTAGAGAAGAAATGAGTAAATTCACAATTTATGCCTCAATACTTTATCATCAGATATAATTACCCTGACAACATTCTTTACAAAAAGATCTTCAAATGGCTGAAGGACCCAAAAGTGTACACCGAAGAGGGTATTCTCTTCACTGCTTCTTACAAGGAGGTAATTTTCATACTCTAACTTTTAGGTGAAATCCCAACTGGGAGAATTCAGAGATAGCAAGTGAAGACCAGGCCGTTCAACCCAAGAATGCATTATGAAAGCCCTCGTATTTGAAAAAGACACGACAGGTTGAGCTAAACCATCTGTTTAAGTATGTTTTCAACTAGAGATACCTTTCCCGGGGTTTTGGGGTTTTGGGGTTTTGGGGTTTTGGGG